CATCACCGTAGGTAATTTCCACATACCTAACTTAAACTAGAATTTATTCTAGCCCTTTTCTTTACCTATTTCACCAAGTCCACAATAATAGGCACATGATATAACATTTTATCAATCCACCTATTTTGTATAAACATCCTAGGTTGTAAATAAATCTAAGTTGGAAGGAACCCTACCTCTTGAAGCGTAAGGAACACGTTGGGAAGCTCTACGACTTTAACCCGAGCTCTAATCCAAGCCTTCCCAAAATCTCTATTTCAAACTTTGGTGAAAACCCTCGTTTTTGGTACGTAAGTGTAGCTCTCGACGAGGAGATCGATTTTTGTTCTTGGCCTGTATTAATTTGAGTACTAAAATCTTGTAGATCGTAGAGAGAAGGTGAAGATTTTTCTCTTTTCCCTCTCCTCTTTTCTCACGTTGAAACTGGTTGAAGAAAATGGGGGTGAAATATGATTTTGCTCCCTATTTATACTCTCTAAACTCACAATGTGCCACACGGCCCTTTATTTCCTGGGTCCGTTTTTATCCCGAAACGATTAAATTTTACCCCGATTCAAGTTGAAAATAATTTTATTTTAATTTGCCTTAAATTATTTTCTAATTTTTAAATTTTTATTAAAAATCCTGTTTTTGGGTCATTCGAGACTTGATCGCCTCATAAAACGCGAAAAATCCGACTAACTCAGAATTTGATGAAATTTGACAGAATAACTAAATTTTATGAGACGAATCCAACGGTGGGGTCCATTTCATTATCCGAGCTCTATAAAATTTCAAGTTTACAACCCATACTATAATGACAAATTACCATTTTACCATTTTTCATAAAAGTTTAATTTTACCCGGGTTTTACATGTTTGATTTATCTCTTTCGTATATCACTTTCTTGTATCAAATTTTTGCATCAATTAGGTGTAACATTTTAGCGTTTCTCTTTGGATTTCACTTGTATCTCTTTGGTGTATCTATTAGGTGCATCTCTTTGGTGTATCTCTTTTGTGCATCTATTAGGTGTATCTCTTTATAATAATTGTTTGCGTTGAATAATTGGTGCAACTTGTACCTGTTAGGTGTATCTCTTTGGAAAAAGTAGCGTTTGGAACCGAATCAGAAAACCACGTTGGGAGCCATATTGTAATACCTACAACTGGTTTGGAACTGAATCAAAAAGTTTGCAATTGGAGAATATAGAAAATAACAACATTTGAAGGCAACTGTTGAAGAATATACTTTGACTTGATTTAAGAATAAATGTTCAAAATCCAAACGATTGAAAAAAACAAATCAAATCTTTAATATTTGAAAAGAATATAAATTATTAATGGAAGATAGAGAAAGAAAAAATTAGGTGAAAGAGAGGAATGGTAAAAGAAAATAGAGGGAGAGAGAGAGAGAGAGAATAAGGGAGAGAGTAATATAGAGAGAGAATAGGGAGAAAGGGTAACTATGAGACAGAATAGAGAGAGAGAAAAAAAAAGAATAAATATTCAGAATTCAAATGAATGATAAAATCATATCAAATCTTTATATATTTTAAAAGAAATAAATTAGTAATCAGTTATGCATTATTTAAGGAAGGGTAATTAAGTAATACAGAAAAAAGGTAAACTGAATTATGTATCTAAAAATAAGAAATTTATGTATAAGTGAACTTAATAGAGTAAAAATCATTTCAGTAAACTTTCTTTCAAATAAGTCTTAAAAAATGTACTCACACCTAATTTTTCCAAAAAACATTTCAACTACATAAGTCACTAGCAAAAAAACCACCAATTTGAGACTTCCAATCTCCTAGACAGAATATCAATCACCTTGTTGGCAACCCAGAAAGCAGAGAAGGACTCCATTCCAAATTGTCCGATCACATTAACATTGAAAACATTAGCGAATGCCACTGACAGTTGCTTAGAAAGGCCAGCTCACCAGCCTTGGCAAGTTTAATTCTTGGGTCAAGGTTAAAGAGATTAGGCTGGCCATCAATCTTGCTGTCGTCAATCAACCTCTTGAAGAGAATTTTTCCCAAAGCCGTTAATTTGATAAGAAAGATGGCGGTGATGGAGGAAATGATTGTGTTGAATAAATAAGCTTAGGATGGAAAACAGAAAGGCGATAGTTGGAACTAGGGATAATTAATTAATACAAATTAATTTTAAAAAATAAACAATACAAAAGAATATAGGATATCAAAACTGAAATTCTAAAGTTTTGAGATTTGCTTCAGTATTTATTCAGAATTGAAATAACTGTCAGTGGTTAGAAGGTCCAAGTAATTTACACATAATTTAATAATTATTAACTACAAAAAGATAGGATAAACATTTGCAATTTTATTAAGGTTATTTTAGTCAAATAATTTTTTTTCACTTTGGCTGATATTTAGAAGTAATATAGATATAAATATAGTCAACTGTAATCTTCTTTCCGAATGAAATTATATTTTACTTAAAATGTGATGTTAAAAAAAAGTGTAATCAAATGATAAATTAGTACTTCCAAACCCGAATCCATGCATAAGATTTAATCATATTTCCACAACATTTGAGTTAGACCTTTTCCGATCATGATTTTTTCATTGTCCTTTCTTCTTTACCACCCCCGGGGCCACAAAAAATTGAAACGCTCTTCGACTGTCCAATTTGGATGCAATATGGTTAAACACTTTGGTTGATATTTAGAAGTAATATTTTTTTTCATCTTTTCAATTATCGATTCTGTACTGTAATAAAATGAAAACCCCTTTAGAATTTGCATTTCAAGCTTTCAATCAAAATATTTACCTTCGAAAAATTGAACCAAATTTAACCCTTTTCACACTTCAATTTCCAAAAGTACTCAGATTATGTATGTGAACAAAACACTAATAAAACATTGTGTAAATTAAAGTTATCTATGTGAACAAAAACATGAATATGTGAACTAATAACACATTGCGTAGAACATGAATATGTGAACACAAAAATGATAAGCAATATTGCATTTAATGTAAGCTATGTAAACAAAAAAATTAACAAAAACAATGCATTTAAAGTAACCTTGAATACAAGAATTACACATGAATCAAAAAAGTTACATAAAGTATACATGACAGAGATTTCTTTTAAGGCACCAAATCAACTTGAAATTTTTATACAGCCATTGAGGTCTCATAGCCATTATGTCATAAGCCAATTTAGATTATCAGGTCAATCATAAGATAGAGATTTTACAAATACATGGCAGAGCTGAGGTCGGCCAACAAATTGAAAACCAGTCCCCTCCATGAAACAAGTTTGGGTTTAAAAAGGTATTCTAATTTTGCAACAAGTCTTTCCCATTGACAACCCTTCATCTTCGCATGGTTCACCAACTCTATCCAAATAAAACCCAAAACCCAAATTTGAAATGAAATGCAATACAATTTCCACCACCCCATAAGCACCGTTTCATTTTCTAATCACAATGTTGATATCCGAGACCAACCCAGGTGATAAAAAGCGGTCATCTCGTACTGTGTATTTGGTATTTAGTCTATTTTTCTTCAGAATCTGATGTGGGTAGTGGTTTGTTTTGTCCATTCTCTGTGTTCTCTCTCTCTCTCTCTCTCTTGTTTTGTGTTGTAATTGTTCTTCTTTTTATGTTTGACAGTGTCGGGATTGAGAAAAAAAATTGGAGAGAACATGGAGGATGACGAGGAGCTTGCAAAGTTTGACAGGGAGAGAGAATACCTATATTGACAGAGAGGTTCGTCAAATCTGAGAAGAGGACCGATGGTGTGCGATGCACAATTGAAAAGAGCTTATAACTTTTAAGGATTTGTGGATTACCGAATGACTCGGTCGGAGCGCCTAGGCTCCTAAGATTTGAACAACGGAAGTGGGGAATAGCACACAAAGAGTATATAGTAGTTTATCAGTTCGAAAAAATCGACTAATCCACTCTCAAGAGAGTCTGTTGCTCATGTGGGTGATTTTATTGATCAAAGAGGGATTTCAACAGAGTAATGCTTAGGTTAATTGCATGTCCTCTATTTGTGAGGGATACAAATCTTATTTATAGTCTCCTAGGACCTTCCCTAATCCATGGTGTGATCCTTGCCTTCTTCCAATAAAGGTTGCGCCTTTTAAGCGATTGCCATGAATAGTATTGAGACGGTTGCGATTTTCTTGTCAAAATATAAAACCGCTACGATTTGTGGGGGCGCTTGGGGTGGAAGCCAATTGTCATCCTTTCTGTTTTTACAGGGGTGATGTAGATGGGGAATAGGTGCCGACCTCATCATCGCCCGGTAATCTGTGAAAGAGTTGAGTGATCCGAGCTTGAAAGGTTTGAGTTGGATACATAATCTCAATCTTAAGCATATTTTGAGTATCATTGTGGACAAATAAATATTCCAAACATCTTTGCTAATCCTAGTCAACGTCGGAGTTTAGCATCGTCATCAGAGTTGGGCTTTGGAGTTGTCAGATGAAATGTTTGAAGGCGTGTCAAAGGTGAGGGAAGTAGTCTAATCACTAAAGAGTTTTTAGAAATTTGAAACTCATTTTATTCGTACAAATTGTCATTCTAAAAGACTTTTTTAACGGCATCATTTCAAATAATGATATAATGTTTAATATAAGTATTAGTCACTGGTAGAAAACTTTTTAAAATAGTAATTAAAATATGTCATTTAAAACGATGTATTTAAAGATATTATTATAAATGACATTTTATGAGTTAACATATCCAAATTTTTGAAGGTTAAAAACGTCATTTATAATGACATTTTTAATTTTGAAGACATCATTTAAAATGATATTTTAAAAAAAAAGACTGCATTTAAAAAATTTAAAAAATTAAAAAATGATTAATTTGGAGAGAGAAATTTTTAAAACACGAGTATGACTATGGTAAAAAACTCCACTTGGAACCTCCATCATTATCTTTCTATTTGAGCCATTCCACGGTATAATAATTATGCATGTTATGGTCCAAAAAAAATTTAAGTGTAATTGGGTGAACCGGCAAATTGCCCAAAATTCTGTGAAGTTACAAAATCACGGTTCTTTCGTTGGTACATAACCTTGAATCTCATTCTCCTATTACCTCATCAAATTAGTTCACCAAAAAGACAAAGGCTAGATTATTCACCACCGCGATGTACCAAACATGGAACTCTAGGAAACAACTATTCACTTCACATTACCATAAAATCCCTCCAGCAATCCGAAACTCTCTTCAGTGGACCCAAAACTGCACTACCCCAATAAGTCAACCATTTCAACCGAAGGGTCCGTCAATCTTAGCCACAAATCTCATCAAATCATACTTCGAGATAGGCTTAATCAGAGAAGCCCATACGTTGTTCGATGAAATGCCCGAAAGAGATGTAGTTGCGTGGACGGCCATGATTGCTGGTTACACCTCCTGCAACTATTACACCCGCGCATGGTCACTGTTCTGTGAAATGATGAGGGAGTGTCCAGATCACCCAAATGATTTTACATTGTCTAGTTCATTGAAGGCTTGTAAAGGCATGAAGTCACTGTCTTGTGGTACTTTGGTCCATGGATTGGCTATTAAAGATGGTATGGACGGTCGCCTATACGTTGATAATGCTCTCTTGGACATGTATGCCATGTGTAGTGTTAGTATGGACGAAGCATGCATGGTTTTCCATAACATTACCGTAAAAAATGCGGTGTCATGGACTACGTTGATCACCGGATACACTCACCGGGGTGATGGCTATGGCGGGCTTCAAGTTTTTAAACAAATGTTGTCGGTACGTAGATAAAATGACCTTATCTTTTACTAAATGTATTCATGTAGCAAAGTGTAGTCCCTAGTCCCCTTAGTCTTGTTTCGATTTAAATGCAAAACCTTTTCTTTAAGTTTTACATTTCAATTCAGATTTTTAACTTTTACATGTCAATACACATTCTGTGCAGTGGATCTAAGTATGCGCATTTTTCTTGCATTTTTTTTTTGGTGACAGGAGGAAGCTGAACAAAACCCATTTAGCTTTTCTATTGCAGTTAGAGCTTGCGCTTCAGTTGGCTCTTATACGTACGGCAAGCAAATCCATGCAGCCGTAACTAAACATGGGTTTGAATCCAATATTCCTGTAATGAATTCCATATTGGATATGTATTGTAGGTGTGGTTGCTTTTGTGAAGCCAAACAGTATTTTTATAGTATGCCGGGAAGAGATCTAATTACATGGAATACGTTAATTGCTGGATATGAGAAATTCAATCCGGATGAGTCCCTCTACTTATTTTCAAAAATGGAGTCTCAAGGTTTTAGTCCAAATTGTTTCACATTTACCAGTATTATTGCAGCCTGTGCTCAGTTAGCAGTTTTGAGTTGTGGACAACAGGTTCATGGAGGGATTGTCCAAAGAGGGCTTGTGGGCAACTTGGCATTATCAAATTCCCTTATAGACATGTATGCCAAGTGTGGAAACATAATAGATTCACACAAAATTTTTTGTGAAATGTCGAGCAGAGATTTAGTTTCTTGGACTTCCATGATGATTGGGTATGGGACCCATGGATATGGAAAAGAGGCTGTTGAATTGTTTGATGAGATGGTCAGATCCAGTATTAGACCTGATCAAATTGTATTTATGGCTGTTCTGAGTGCTTGTAGCCATGCTGGTCTTCTAGATGAAGGATTAAGGTACTTCAAATCAATGGTTGGTGATTATAGTGTTGCTCCAAATCAGGAGATCTATGGGTGCGTGGTGGATTTGCTAGGACGTGCTGGTAAGGTCAAGGAGGCTTATGAGCTTATACTGAGTATGCCCTCTAAGCCGGATGAGTCTGTTTGGGGAGCATTTCTTGGGGCTTGTAAAGCACATGGGCTTCCAAATTTTGGGAAAATGGCTGCTCGGAGTTTGTTGGATTTGAGGCCTAATATGTCGGGGACATACGTGATGCTGTCAAATATCTATGCAGCCGATGGTAGATGGGGAGATTTTGCGAAGATGAGGAAGTTGATGAGGGGATTGGGGAACAAGAAAGAGGCTGGTAGAAGTTGGGTGGAGGTAAGAAATCAAGTTTCTAGTTTCTTTGTTGGAGATGAGGTAGGTTTGCACATGGAGTGGGTATATGGCGTCCTTGAAATGGTGAATCAACATATGCAAGAAGCTGGATATGTTCCTGATTTAGATTGTTTGATACATGATCTGGAAGATGGAACATAAAGTTGATTAGTTAAAAAATCCACATGGATTCAAGAAATTTGATTCAATTTCTTAGAGAAACTTGATTTGGATGATGGGGGAAGGGCAGAAGAATTCAATTTGTAGGGAAATTAATTTGTTGCTGAAAAGAGTTCTAATATTACTAGATTTTCAAGTGAAAAGAAAGTAATCAAGATAGAGAAGTAAATTGAGGCATTGCATATAGGTTGGAGAAAGGACTCTTCTAACGGATCTCTGAGATTACAGAAGGAAAATTGAAGTGCACACATGGTGTGGAGAAAGGACACACCTAATAGATCACAGAGATTGGGCAGAGGTCTCTGTTTATATTCTGTAAGTTCAGAATACTTGTTTGTATGTGATTGTTTAGACGTTATCATTTCTAATGCAATTAACTTACAGAGTGAATAATGCAACTTACACAAATGCTGTATTTTTGGCTGCATTAAAATACACTTCTTCTAAAGTGTACATTTGAATTTTGGTTGGTTCTATATCCAATGCAGCTCATCCAATGAAGCTTTTACTGTTCATATATAATTAATTTCTAGTGCCTAACTTCACCTGTTATTCTTGCTTGATATGCTAGTTATCTTGTTCAAGGGAGGCGGGTGGGCTGGCAGGGATACTGATTTGTAAGAGTTTTACAGAGTTGTTGGGTGCCATGCCTCCATATGCCATATTGAATTTGTATCTTCCGTCTGATCAAATATGTGCCAATGCACAACAATTATGGTGGCAAACAATGTTGTGAACAATTTCTCTTTGATCTGCAATTTTAGAACATAACAAGAGCATATTCTCATGTGGGTCTGAGTGGCTTAATGGCTTCTAGATCAGTATTGTGTAAAGATCTTATTCTATGTATTTCAGATAAAGGATCAATAATAAACTATTGAAATCAAGTTGAGGAAGTTGATGAGGGGATTGGGAAAGAAGAAAGAGGCTGGTAGAAGTAGGGTGGAGGTAAGAAATCAAGTTTTTAGTTTTGGTTTGGAGGTAAGGTAGGTTCTCATGTAGAGTGGGTGTGTGGTGTACTTGAAATGGTGAATCAGCATATGCAAGAAGCTGGATATGTTCCTGATGTAGATTGCTTCATACATGATTTAGAAAATGGGACATAAGGTTGACTAGTTATTGACATCCACTGGGTTCAAGAAATTTGCTTCATCTCCTTAGAGAAACTTGATTTGGAAGATGGGGGAAAAGGGGAAGAAGAATTCAATTTGTGGGGAAGTTAATTTCTTGCTGGCAAAAGTTTTGATCTTCCTATATTTTCAAGTGAACCAGAAGTAATCAAGATAGAGAATTAAATTGTGGCTTTTCACATAATGTGGTTGGAGGAAGGACACTCCTAGCGCATGACAGATTTTCAACCAATAAAAAGTGACACGTGGTACTTCCTACACCTAGTTTATTTATACTACTAATAAAAGTACACTATCAAAAAAAAATTTTGATCGACTATTTTATCCCTAAAACAAAATATAAAGACAATACTAGCATTATTAATACGGAATTTATATTAATACAACTTCATTAATATTACACACATCCAAACCTTTCATATTCTTTCTTTTAAAATATAAAAGTTAATTATTAAAATAATTAAATTTATTTTTATTTATGTATCTATTTCATTAGTTGATGACAAGTTTCTAAATTTTTAAATAAAATTGTATAAAGGCACTAAGATCTTATTCAATATAAGATTTATTTTAATATAACTTAGATAATATTATTAAATCCCGACTTTTTATTTTCTTCTCTTTTATGTTTTAGTTTCAATACATCTTTTTTAGTTATGTGTATTGCCAATATTACAATTCATTTTATTTTTATCTGTTAACAATGCCATGAATATTCAGTATTACATTAATTTACTTACCACAACATAACTTCTTTAATTTACTTAACCAATTGTTTATAACTAGATGACCACCATAATTTGAAACAATTTCTCATTAGTATTATTCATTAATGCTAAACTTTTAGTTGGATAACTTTATTCTCATAGTTAAGACAATACTAACATTATTAATACAAAATTTATATTAATACAACTTCATTAATATTACACACATCCAAGCCTTTCATATTCTTTCTTTTAAAATATAAAATTTAATTATTAAAATAATTAAATTTATTTTTATTTATGTATCTATGTTCATTAGTTGATGACAAGTTTCTGATTTTTCAAATAAAGTTGTATAAAGGCACTAAGATCTTATTTAATATAAGATTTATTTTAATATAACTTAGATAATATTATCAAATTCTGACTTTTTATTTTCTTCTCTTTTATGTTTTAGTTTCAATACGTCTTTTTTAGTTATGTGTATTGCCAATATTACAATCCATTTTATTTTTATCTGTTAACAATGCCATGAATATTTAGTATTTCATTAATTTACTTACCACAACTTAACTTCTTTAATTTACTTAACCAATTGTTACTAACTAGATGACCACCATAACTTAAAACAATTTCTCTTTAGTATTATTCATAATTTAATAAGTGACCGTGATACTTTTTAGTTATATATACCCGAATACCACAAAATATATTTATACCACTACTATAATATTACAAACAAAATTAATCAAAATTATTAGCTTCATGTGAAAAGTTCTAAACCTTAAGGATAGAAGTTTGCAAGAAAATAATTCATCAAAACATTAAGAGTTAGTAAAAACATAAAACCTAATATTCATTCTAAAAAAATATAGTATATGTCGATTATAAATTACAAAAAATTTAAAATAGGTATATTTAGATTGTTTGATTTATATTTATGTAGTTGTCATTGTATTTATTTGATTGTTTCAAATTAAAATCTTAATTGATCCCAAAAAAAAGAAAGTTAAAATCTTAATTAAAACAAAATTATAGCTCAAAAAGTCCACGTGCAAGACACGTGTGCATGATCTAATATATAAAATGGTCAAAAAGGTGGAATACAAATCTTCCACTCTTTCATTTGCTTGGCTAAATACGTTAGAGAGAGAGAGAGAGAGAGAGAGCGAGAGAGAGAGAGGCTTAGAGTTTTCTTCAACTTCTCCTTCCTCTTTCCTCAAATCTTTAAAGATCCAACCACTGGATAATCAATCACTAAGAACAAAAGTTTTTTTACTTGACGAAGGTTACGCGGTAACGCCAATTTTGCCCATTTTTTCCAAATTTCAGAAATCATAGGTTTGGGGCTAGGGCTTTGCAGAAATTATTTGGGCATTCTAAAGGAATTTCTTCTCCACCTTCTCCAGCATTTCTATTCTTTGCACATGCTGCAAGAGGTGGGGGTTCCCTTCTATTTTGATTCTCTTTCAATTTAGGGTTTGCATATGATATGAGTTTGGGAAAATGTATGTTAATTACATGATTAGCTTATAACTAGTGTAGCTAGTGCGTTAATTGGAACTTGTGCGCATGTTGCCTAATTTCTACTTGAGTTGGGTTGTTGAACATATTTTATATATAGATTATGATGGGTATGCAAGGTGTTTACAATTATGCGCCCTATGTGTTTGATAAAATACCTAAATGTATTCAAGTATGTTGTTTGAGTTAATCAATGTATATAAACTGTTGGGTGATATGCCAGAAAGCTCTTATATGCTTTAATGCTATAATTGACATTGTTTTTCAATTGAAACGTTATTATATATATATTGCATGTACACGGGTTAAACATCACATCCATGAGACATTTAGCATTGTTTTGAGAGTTGTGCATGGATAAATCACTTATCACATAGGTGAGTGATAGGTGGGGCTTGGAAGATTGAACCAAGGTTAAATCGAGTTTCATGGGAAATTGCATGGAAATATGTCGGGGCATAATAAGAAGGCAGGATATTTCCTTGGGTATAAGACCCGATTGATTTGGGCACACATTTTTCGATGGTGTAATGAGTCCATAAAAGTGTGTTAGCGAAAATGGAGCTGGAGGTGGGATGTACTCGAGATCGGTTAACGTGTTGGTAGCCCATTGGTGAAAGGCCATAAATTACTTGCCTCTAAAGAAAAGATAAAAATTGAAATGGTCATTGAGTGTGTATAGCTCAATGGTGAGGGCTTGGAATTGCCCTGTTCATAACATAACATTACATCATGGGTATGCATGGGAACCCAAGAGTGGGTTTGTAGTCGAACATGCATTCATGAAACATCACTTGTATCTCAGCATGTTTAGTAACATTATTTTTATGTTACTTGTTGTATATATGTGATTGTTGAGTTGTATGTAAATCATATCATATGCATTTGGGTTGGGAGTTATTTTCTACAGGAGATACTGTACTGCGCTTAGAATTATCCCGTTGTGGGAATATTATTCAGGTACTACGCACGCTTCTGTAGATGGCCCTCCCATGGGTTCACTTTGATGGTGGAACTGGAGCTCGAACTCTTATCTTGAATGTATAGATGTTAGGTCCCAGATTATAAAATTGATAGCCTTGTACTTTTGGTTTATACAACATATTTATATTATTTTGTAAAGACATGTATATGGGGACTTAATGTCAACTCTTCTTTTGTTTCAATGAATGGTTTATATTTGAACTTGTTATTGTTGTCTAATAAATTGATTCGATTAGATATGTATGTTGGACATTGGAAGGTCAATATGAATTGCTATTGACTTAGGTTGTATTTTGGGTAGAGCTCTCCGTACAAATGAGATTTCATTGAAATTTTGTTGGGATCAATGCCTTGAGTTAATTAATGAGGCTTAATGGGCATTAAAGACCCCTAGGGTTTGGAGCATTACGACTTTGTATGAGAGCCTAGGCTTTAGATCTTGCATGGTCTCATGGGATGTGAATCCATCATTTTCTATTACCAGAAGATTTAGGTTGGGACATTAAATTTATGAATATATGTATGCTTGAACATGAAAAATGCAAAAACCTTGGTAAAAATATAGCCTTAAGGTTGGAAAAGAAGAAGGAAAAAAAACATAGATGGATCGGTAGGAATTAATACATGACTTACCGGTAGGTTAGCTTTTGGGCTTGACCTACCTTTAGATGGCATGAACGAACAGATAGGAAGGTTTTTTTGTTTTGAACCTACCGGTAGGTTGACCTTAAACCTATTAGTAGCTCAACTCTCTATTTTGGAACCTACCGGTAGGATGGACATCAACCTACCAATAAGATGGACATCAACCTACCAGTAGAATAGCCTTCTGTTTTGAACCTACTGGTAGAATGGACATCAAACTATTGGTAGAACATCGTTCTGTATTGAACCTACTAGTAGGTGGACATCGACCTATCGGTAGAACAACACTCTGTTTTGAATCTATTGGTAGAACATCGGTGGGTTAGAAAACATTGCATTTTCCTCTAACTTTGAACGGCCATAACTTTTGCTACCGAAATTGGAATTACGCGAA